CTTAGTGATTCTGTGATTCTGTGAAATAAGCAAAATATTGCCTTAATTTTGCCTTGCCTTTTTTTCCTTTCAGTGGCTGCATCAACTGCTAATTCCACAGCTGGTGCGGCCATGAATTCTTTGACTTCTCTGGGTACTCTCCAAGGACTGGCTGGAGCCACTGTTGGACTGAATAATATTAATGCACTAGCAGGTACCGTAAGCAGTGAGTATTTATTGCTGTGGTGGACAGCCTTCCCCAATAATCATGCCACAAAAAACTATCAATTGTAAAGCGATGATATGATTATTTTTGATCTATATACTAAATAAGGGGGTTGAGTTGATCTAGTTCCATTTGTGGTACATATGCAGTTCTGAAGTCTTTTAGTTTCACATAGTTTGCTCTGCAAAGTGAAGTCCCTTGGGTCCCTGCACAAAGACTCCTTTTCTTGCAGGGTGTATGGAAGGTCAAAGAAACGTCACCAGAGCTTTGGGTTATCTAGGTTATAGGAGAGGGTCCTTTTTCATTTAAAGAGTCTGACAACAGGTATATCACCCCAATGTACAAAACCTCACTCAGAAACGTAGTGATTAGAAAGATGTCTGCCACGGAGGCAGTCCTTTTAAAATGTCTGTAGGATTTATCAAATGGACTTGAGAGCAACATACTTTAAAAATGAAGGCAAGTCTTTGGCTTTTAATTGGCAAGTATAAGAGAATGATGCAGTCAGTCACCTATAATACCAGAGCATGCACATCTATCCTATGACATCTTGAACAAACCCTGGCATCTCCAGCTATGTAGATGCCAGTAGTTGTTAGAACATTCTTTCTTATTCTTAGCCTTGGTCAAGATTTTCCTGAAGAAGAAGGATTTTTTTTTATTGTTTCTGCTATGATGACCTCACCTTTGCCTGCAATGGAAGAGATTTGTCCAGCTGCATTTTCCCCCTCCCCTTTTTTTTTAGCTGCTGTTGCTCCTTGCATTTGCTTTTGCAATGCAAGGAATCTATTTGGTCATTGCCAGTCCATGACCCATCACAGTGTACCCCCAGGAATGGATGTCCTCCTCAGTATCTCTTGCTCACTCTGATGCTCTGCATGATGTCCTTTTCGTCACTGTTACTTGGCTGCTCACCCAATCTTTTTGTTCCGTGATCTCTGGTTGTCATTGTTGGGAGTTGGGAAGGAAGGGGGCTAATGGATGTCCATGTAGCAATGTTGAGTGGTTGCATGGGGTCTTGTGTAAAACAGGTCTTGCTTCTGGCAAGGACATGCGTATTTCACACAAACAACCTCATAGTAAGTATGACTCAAGAACAACTTAAGAAAAGTAAGTATTAGATCCCAAAATGGCAGCTGTTAGTTTCCTTTCTTATTATTACAATAGTATTAAAGGAAGCCACTACAAATGGCATGCATGAAAAGCTAACTTAATCTCTTCTTGTGAGCTCTCTTAGTAAGAGAGCTACCCTGTCATAAGTAAGATTAAATATCTTTCCGGATGAACAGTCATTGTGCTTTACTTGGTCTACAAAAGTCACAAGATCAACAGTGGAGTATGGGTTCCTGCTCCTTCCGTCCCACAAGTACTAAGAACCCAGGCACATTGGAGCACTCCAAGATAACGTCCCCTTCACCAAGACCAAGCGAAAATGAATCACCTGTGAGCTCTTGACTTTGTGGGACCCCTTATGTTGCACTCCTTTTAACACTTCTTGCTAGGCTACAAGCAAAAAGGTTACGTTTTCTCAGCAAGTATTTTGAGATGATGTGTGTGCAGACTTGACCTGCGTGTGTCATTTGAAGTGTTAATGACATATTCACAACCTAGTACCAAATTTCAGCTTGTTTTAAGCCACCGTTACTTCCATGGACTTGTACAACAGTGGCTTCAGTCCCAAATCTTCTTCATGGATGTTTTTATGGACGGAGAGTGTATGTGCTTAGAATATCTGTATGTGTGTAGCACTTACTTACAAAATGTGTGTGGATGTGTCTGTCTATGTATATACATATATGAGAAAGATCTAAAGTGGGGAAGCTGCTTCCCACAACACAGTGTTGTGGCACCATTTCTCTCAAAAAGGTGATGCTGATTATCAGTTTCTGGTAATTGTGATGCTAATGATAGCAAAGCGTTGTTCAAATTACAACCTCCTCTGTCTATTTTACTGACGAGCCAGTACTTTTCATAGTGACCATGTGTGATCCAGTCATTCACACTCAAACCTTCCTAGGACTTTGCCTTTGGGAAACCTCAAGTTCAGTGAGTCTGATTTTTCACACTATGTCATGGTCATAAGCACTCCAGTAAAAACATTCAAACATCATTTGGTCATGGAGGTTCTTGAAGTAATTGTGCAGAGAAGTTGGAGTTGAGTGACATGCTTCTAATTGGGGAATTAGAGACAAGTGTGGTCCAAAGCACGAGTCAAGCAGAGCTTAACCAAAAAATGAATCAGAAAGTGGCACTGGGCTTGGGCATTGATTTGCACAGCGGCACTGGAAAAGATACGCTTCTGTTAAAGCCATGTCCTGCTCTGTATGTGAGAATCACAAGGAGGATGTCTTCCAGGCTGAGCTCACTAGAAGACTTTTATCTGTTTTCTGGATCCTGGCTGGGTCCATGAAAAAGAAGCTGGGCTGTGGGGACTCATAGCGCTCTCATTGTAGAGAGAAGCCTTGTAAAAAGATATCTGGAGGCGTTTAAAATTAAAGAAGGTGGAGTATGGGTTGTCTCCAAGGGTTTGGCAACAGTTGTACGTACATTTGGGAATTCACCCAGTCTTCCCTCAGCTGTGCTTGAAGCATCTAAAAACTTAAATGACAAAACATTAGGTTGTCTCCTTTAGGCACATAAATTTAAATAATGTAACTAACAAAAAGAACTATGAATAATGAGAAAAAATGAATAAAGAGAGAGGGTGAGATTCTTTGCAATTAAGAAAGAACACCATGGATTTAGGATACTGGACACCTATAACACAATGTTTGTGTGTGAACCCAGGGCAGTCACTTAGCCTTCTTGCCCCCATATTTACATCTGTAAAATGGAGATAAAACTATTTGTGACAGATTTGAAGGTGCTTGGAAAGCACTTTGAGACACCTTTGGACTTGCCAAGCATTGTCACTTCTGTATTATGTAGAGTAACTCAAAAAAGTAGAAGGCCATAGATGAGAGACTCCAGAAGGTTATTTCACAGAAGCGAGGAGGGGACCAGAGTTCAATATCAGACTGAGGTGCATTGGTAGAGATAATAAAGAGATGGCAGAGATGTGTAACTGCAGCTGGACCTTGTAGATTTCATAAAAATGTAAAAAAGGAGAACAGAAAAAATGTCGAGAGCTTGCTGCAGATCTGTTTTGCTCAGGAGGGAAGTGTATTTAGACACGTGCGCTGCGGCAGCAGCAGCCGGGCCCCTCCCAGGGGCAGTGCCGGTGCCCTGCGGCAGCAGCAGCCGTGCCCTTCCCAGGAGCAGTGCGGTTTGCTGATCTGCTGGCTGTTTGCTAATCTGAAATCATTTGGTGGGAAGGGGCTGTTGATTCTAGGTAAAAGAAAGGGGGAGGATGTTGCCCACTGCAACACAAAGCATGTTTATCTAATAGGCTAATGACTCAAGAAAGATAACATGTTATCCTAATGCTTCCTCTATTATCAAGTTATTTCAACACTATAATAAAAGGAAAGCTACAAGCTGCTTTATCAGGAGCTTTTACTTTAAGCAGTGGTGTGTATACACTTGTGCAACAGTGACACAAACCTAAGTACAAAAACATCAGAACAGGTTCAGGTCAAGCTCCGGATCAAAAAATAATGATGATTATTATTGTTGTTGTTATTGTTGTGGTTGATATTACTATTACTATTACTATTACTATTACTATTACTATTACTATTACTATTACTATTACTCGTCCTCCTCCTCCTCCTCCTCCTTCTCCTCCTCCTCCTCCTGCTCCTGCTCCTGCTCCTACTCCTACTCCTCTTAATTTTCCAAATATCCTGTCTTTTACATATAAGATGCTTCACAAGCTATCTCGGTTTGCAAGTTTTTGTTTTATAAATGGAGCCATTATACACCAAATACCTGGCGCTCTTGTGCTCTGACAGAGGTTTTTGTTCAAAGCAGTGGCAGCCAGTACCTCCTATCAGGATATAGCGATGCTCCGAGGTGGGGTGGAGGGAAAAGAGAAATCTTCAAAGTGCGAGACATTTTATTAAGGAAAGGCTAAGAATATCACATCTCTGTCAAGTGTTTAGTCACACAAATTACAGTAATATCAAAAGGTATAATTTATGCAGTACAGTTCTCTTAATTGGCACAGACTCTGGTGGAGCCAGAAAGGTGCCACTTGAGCAATTGTCCTGATTATCAGAGACTCATAGGAATATACTTTTCAAATTTACATAAGAGATGGAAGAGAACTAGTAGGTCAGCATCTTTATCCTCCTCTGTCAATGCAGGATAATTCCTTGCAGTATTCTTTCTATCTCTAAATTACTCATATGATAAGGTTTATGCTACTTTCCTTGAAGATTGTTTCCCAGTCTAATAGATTTCATTGTTAATTCACTACAAAGTGTCCTCTGCTTAATTTCCTCACTTTTCTCCAATTTACATATCACCCCTTATTACTGCTCTGAAATTAAGCCCTCTCTTTCTCTTCAATACCCTTAGCTTTCCGGTCTTGTTATGACGCCACCAGTCTCCTCTTCACCCATCATTTTGCCAACCAAAACACTACACAGTCAACGTCTAAGAAATGGTCACTGGTGGTTCTGGGTGTCCCACTTTTCTGGTTACTGATCTACTGTACCTTGAGTGGCCTGATTAAGCCCTTTTAAGTTGTTTGTGAGCTGTTCACCTAAGAACTGGGGAGCACAGGATAGCTAGTTGTGCGGAAAACTTGCCCTAACTCTCAATCCTCATGAGCACTTACTGCTTCAGTTGACACAAGTCGGAGGCCTGGGTGAAGAGCAGGGCTCCGAACTCTGCCAAGCCTTCAACTGCCAAAGAGACCATAGCTCTAACAGAAAACTCACTTTTTCTGGAATTTCTGAGAAAAGTAAGTGTTAACACTGTTGACTTCAACATGGCTCATTTAGGAACCATGATGAGGAATAGAAAAACTGGAGAGAGAGGCTGTAGCGCAGGAGTTTGTACTGTGCCCACCATCAAGTCAGTAGTAAAACTTCTTTTGCAGACTGCACTGTTTGCACGGGTGAGGGATGCCATTTTCTGCACAGCTAGCAATCCAGTCTGAAATCTCCTCTTCGGCAGTCTTCCCAGTTAAGTTAATCTGTTATTTATTGGGATGTAGAATTGCTTTAAAGAAAAAATACTAAGCAACTCTGCTTCCAGTGAGAAGACAGACGTTGCTAGAACCAAATGCCATTGTTTCTTGGTGAAAGATGTCTAGTCTGGATGAAGCACTTTTAGTCACTCTAGATGTGCTGCTGTTCACCTCTTCTGGAGTAACTGGAGCAACTGGAGGAGGAGGGTGGAAGCGCAGAGCATCGCAGTCCATCTTCCTACCACAAACCTGAGGGACGAAGCCCGTAATTGTACAGAGGGTTGTTTCGAAATGCTGTCAGTCACTGTTCTCTGCTAACTCTGTATAAGCAAAACACTTCCGATGATACGGTGTGGTCATGGCCTGATGCTAAAGACCCTGCTCAGAAAGAGTGGGTTTCCTCGCAGAACACTGCTTGTTCCCAGTGGCCGGCTTGCAAGGACGCGGGTCAAACGGGTCCCGCTCCCCCAGCTTCAGATCCCCTCAGCAGAAGGAGGGGTGTGGAGGAGGCTGGGCAGGGAGGCTTTCAGGAGCAGCGAGCTGTAGTACTTGCCAGTAGCAGGCTGCATGTGCGTCCGTTTGACTGTGCAACCCTTGTGCTAAAGTGAGCCTGACGCCAAAGTCGTGTTTCTTTGTTTTCAGTCCCATTTGGTGAAGTGCCGAGCTGCATGCACTGCTGTCGTTGTCAGTGTCGTATAATACCAATGACTTTCGGAAAGCACTAATGAACAAGTGCAATTTCTTTTCTCTATTGTTGGGTTTTTTGTAAAGTTGCTCAAATGCTCTCAGGTATGGCGGCCCTGAACGGAGGACTCGGCGCAACAGGCTTGACGAACGGTACGGCCGGCACGATGGACGCGCTCACCCAGGCCTACTCAGGAATCCAGCAGTACGCTGCCGCCGCGCTGCCGACGTTGTACAGCCAGAGCTTGTTGCAGCAGCAAAGCGCTGCGGGCAGCCAGAAGGAAGGTAAGCGCCCGCTGCCAGCGGAGCAAAGCCCGCGCCGAGCGAACCGCACGGCCCGAGCAGCGTCCTGGGCTCGTTTCTTCACAAAGGCTTAACAAAGGACCTCGAGTGCCTAATCTTTGATTTTTTTTTTTTTCAGTTTTCTCCTGTTTAGTATTGTTAGTGTTGTTAGTATTATTAGTATTATTGCTAGTATTATTAGTATTGTAACTTTCTTTAACCTCTACTGTAATTCATTTTTCACCATCTGGCCTTCAAGTTATACTTCACTGACCATCTCCTCTTATTTACCAACTACCGCATAAAAAGGCACCAGTAACAAAAATCATCCCTTTATGGGTGCCATTCTCCTGTTTTCCATTTTCTGCGATAATGGAGTTAATCTGATTAGGTTTAAGGTTTTGAGTTAATGACAAGATCCGTTTTCGCTTTGAGTGGTTCTTTGCTTAATTGCGGGTCTTGCGGGGAAGCGACTAAGTGAATGATTGCCCCCGCTCCGCGCGCCAACAGCAAATAAACCTCAGGAAGTTGCTGCTAAGAATAAATGAATACTAATTACAAGATGTCTGGGAAAATGAGGTTACCCTTATCCCCTCTCCTGTTCCCCTGCACACTTCCCAGGCATTTTGGGGGTTTGTTTCTGTTTTCATTGCTTTCTCTTATCCTAATTTCCTAATTTCTAGAAGGACAGGAAAATATAGCATGCTTTCCAAGACTGTACGTACATTGTCACTACTGTTCTCGCCAGGACTAAGCTTTGGCAACAAACCTAGTATAATATCCTCAAGAGAAATTTTTTTATCCTCTTTTAAAATAGTATCTTGTACTGTTATGGGAAGTCTTTCCTAGGAAGACAAATTTGGCATTTCCCTAGCTGACTATTGTATAGGGACACTGGAGTTAAAATGTATATTTTCTCTGAATTCTTTACTTCATTTACTGCAAACAGCTTGGATTATTTAAGATGAAATTTTTTTTAATTATTTTTTTCCTGTTTTGTTCCTGTTCTCTGCATTTATCTTTCATCTTGCTCACTTTGGTCAGTGACAACAGATTATTTGACAGCAGAAAGAAATTGTGTATTCAGTGTCATTGTAAGATACATATTGGAGGACAGTTTGATTTTTTCCTAACTATTTTAGTTTTTTTCTGTTTATGAACACTCATCTCAAGTGTAGGCTTACTTTTTATTATTACGAATTGGCAGTGTCCCTTTTAAAATACAGTCTTTTTTGTTATATGTCTTGTTTCTCTAAGGCGTTAAGCTAAAGTGAGTAAATTCCATCACTGAATACTGACAACTATGTTTTGTCTCTTAACATGATTTCTGATGGAATGGCGAAGAGTCTGCAGTGGCTGAGGATAAACAAGTACCAGAGGAAAATGCTATATAAATATTAAATGCTGAAGTACAGTGAATTGCCTCATGCATATGCTCTAAACTATTGTTTATAGGTCTTTTCTTAGTATTTTTTTAAAAAATATTATTTTCTGGATAGGATGGCTTACTTGCAGTAAGAAGAAGTAAGTCCCAGGTGGCCAATGTTTTTCATAGCTTATTTTTTCATCTCCCAAAAATGTTTTTCTTTATAAAAACATTTTTTTTCTAATCCATTTATCCCCTTCTTTTGGGCGAACATTGCAACCTTTTCCTTCAGATTGAGAGAGGGCAGCCAGCCTGGCTCTGCTATGCGGGAGAGGTGGGTCTTTGTGACTCTGTTGCGGAAGGTACTCCATAAACCTGATGCACGCTTTCCTCTTCCTCTCCAGAAAACCAAGGACATCACATCTGAGGCACACTTAGGTTCCATTAAGCAAGGGAATACTTAAACAGGTTACTGTAGATGTGTTTTTACCAGAAATGTTTGTTCCCTTTGTCTACCACTTATGCTTCTGGTATCTGCATGGGAAGGCCACGGCTGGCTCCGTCGTATATCATGTTCTTCCAGGCATCCATTGCTCATTTCCAGTATGTTATTGCAAAGGAGAAGCTGAGCTAGGGAAAAAAAAATAGGATGAGTGTTTAAACCAACAGCACTAATAATGTGTATCTCAAATTTTGTCTGTAAGAAAAATATTCAAAGCACCTTTGAGTTTGCATCTTTCTTTGCAAACTCAACTTTGTCTAAAGCCACTTTAATTTCAACCCAACTACTTTACCTTAGGCTTTTTTAAAAGACTGACTTTACGAACTTTATTCCAGGAGACAGAGCTTTGCATGGGGAATTTGTATTTTTTAAAAAGCTGTCAATTTGAAATGAGCCGGTACAAATTTAATTCTGGATATCTTTCTCTCCTTGACTTCCCTGATTTCCAAGTCACAAGGTTTGCTTTGTCTTATCCTTTTTATTCCCAGACCCACCAGTTTCCTGCCCTTTGAGTTTACAGCTGTGATACTCAAATCTGAGCTCAGCTCACTGCATTTCCATAAATTCCCACAACTACAATTAAACTGACGAACCCATGCAGGTGTTTGAGGCAGCAGAGGACTCCTTGTGCAGTTCTTGGGGTACTGTGAGAGAGTAATATGTTGTGTACCCGTTTTCCTAACCTTAATCATACTAAAAGACACTCATATAAATTGAATAAAGAGGCTGCAGTTTAACTTCTGTAGTAGAGTTATCAAGTAAACACTTTTCAAGATAGGATGCTCTAAAGAGCTGCATTTCAGCTCCGTTCCTTTGATGATCCACTTGCTTTTGTTCCTTTAAAGTTGGCAAGTGAAATGCTTTCTGACCGTCACCTTCAGTAAGTATTATGGAAAAATTGATTAAATATAGCACTTGTAATAGCTGTTTTCATACTCTTTTTTTGTTTGTTTTCCTAAAGGTCCAGAAGGGGCAAACCTCTTTATTTACCACCTCCCCCAGGAGTTTGGAGACCAGGACATTCTACAGATGTTCATGCCTTTTGGAAATGTTATCTCTGCTAAAGTCTTCATTGACAAACAGACCAATCTGAGCAAGTGCTTTGGTATGTCAAATTTAATAAATCGAATAGTAAAAACCACATGCACTGTACTGAAAAAGGGCCAGGAAATAAAATTAACAGCAATGTGAGAAATGTCATACTGGAATCTCATTCCAAAAATAATGGACTGTTAATCCTCAAATGAGCAGGAAGGTGCACAGACAAACTAGTTCTAACCAAAAATTGGATATGAAAAAACAATAATAATCTTCCAGTCTGACATCTCGCATGAATGTGTCAAGTACATGAAACTAATTACACCCTATGTGGGGGAATGTCATTTAGTATACTATTAAACTGCCTTATTCTGGATACCTAATTATTTTCTATTGTATAGCTGAGCCACTTAAAAATGCTCTATGCTTAACCCATTACTTCTACATTACAGGAATTTCTTTCTTCTGAATTAAGGACAAGAGTTTGCAATTAGTGATTGAATGTTGTGTACGTGTAGTTCAGAATGCTTTGCAGACAGTTGATGTCTAGAGATCCAGCTCCAGCTGTTGCGGGCGGGCTCCAGTGTATTATGGAAGGTAGCATCTCCCCTTACCTTAGGGCAGGGATGAAGGGAGCCTCACAAGATCAGTGTTAAGTTTCCCAGAGAACACTTTGAGCTGCCAGAGGATTAGATCACGACAGAGGAGAAGACAATATGTTGGTATATAAGGCAAGTTCTAGGTTTGATTAAGTGGGCTGGTGTCTTTTGAACAGCATAGGTGCACCAGTTCAGTGCTTTGATGGTGTGGAGTACAGAACATAAGCGAAGTGGCAATCTGTTAGAGCTTTAGTCTAATAATTGTGGTCTTATGCCAGACATGACGAGGGTCTAGGAGGAGGAAAGAATCTCTTAAAAATAAGGTTTGACCTAAAATACTGGAGCTTCCATAAAAGTGACAATTCTTTCCCAGGGTAAAGGAACACAGCTGTATGTATAACAAAAGAGTAACCAGTCCAGACAACCCACTAGTTTCCAAAACTCATCTGTACCAACAATGTTGCTCTTTGCCCACCACCATCTCTTAATTCTGAAGTGTCTCCATTAACCATAATACATGTTTCTTAGCTTGCATGTCATTACTTTTTTAAAATTTAGGTTTTGTTAAAGTGTCTGTCTAAGAATTTGTCTCCACCAGGGCCATTCAAGGGTCCCACAGCTACTGGGCTTAAACCCATCTTGAAAGGGTTTGAATTTGTCTAAACAGGCAGTACCCAAACATGAAGAGAATTCATCAAGTTACTCAGAAATACCTACTGCACTGAAATTCAAACCTTGCCACAATCTGAGTGTTTTTCACCTGAGTGAAAAACAGGTTCAGTTTTTCACTTTCAGTTGGAAAGTTAATTCGGTTTAAAGAAAGGGTGTGACATTCTTGCTACATTTTTCCATAGTCTTTCAGTTTGTTTTTGAAGCATTCACCTCTTTAAGCTTGACAAAAAATTGTTCATATCTAGACTAATATAGTCCAGCATGTTTCTGCAATGGGTTAAAACAGTCCCTGAGGCTGTAGCAAATTTGAAAAGTAGACTAGAAATGGACTCCTTATTGATCTGGAGCCAGTTCAGTTAGTATGTTGGGGTGACAAAATCATTGTTGAGGTCTCCAGGAATCTTGATGAAATGTCAAATCAAGCTACATTAATTGAAATGCAGCAATTGTGGTGACTGCTGAAAGAATGTAGATTAGTTTGTGCAGGCGGCTCAATTCATCAGCTCGCTTCCCACACTTGCTTTTTCTGGGTTTCCTTTCACTCTTTGATTACCTACTTACACATTTGTCTGGATTTATGGGACACGATTACCTAACTTAGAGTGATGCACCGATGTTGTGTTATTTGAGGGAAAATGGAGGGGTCAACACCCAACAGATGGAGGATTCCTCTGTCTTTTTGGCATTAGTCAGCTTTCACTAACATTTCAATTTCTCATTCTTCCTCCCCAGAAATTCTGCCACCAGTGAGAGTGTTCTGCTTTAAAAACAAAAAGTACTGCAGTGGCAGAGGAAGTTGAGATTTTCTGATTCAGTAGGTGACTACTTGCTGATGCTGCTAATCACAGGCAAAACCCGAATTAATCCTGCTAGTTTAACATACTAGCATATACTGTATGTACCTCCTCAGATTTTTTAGCAAGAATTGTCTATTTGTTGTTTTGGTCCCATATTTGTGTTTTTAAAAGCTATATTTTTTTCTGTGTCCTTCCCCCAAAAAACTAGGAAAATAGTGCATCTGAAGAACCCATTTCTCTCCTGTATCATTAACAGTCATTGCTCTTGGTACAGTTTTGGTTTGGTTTTTTTGTTGGTTTGGTTTGGTCTTTTTTTACCTTGTTAATAATAGTAGTAGTAGTAGTAATAACAGTAATAATGTTTTGCACAAGCTTGGTGCTTTCTACTCTGGAGTTTCCAATCTCCTGTCCAAAGGAGGAGGAAGCCAAATTACAAATGAGGATAGGCTGAACACCAGAAAGGTGGAAAGATTGTCCAGGGCTGTCCACTGGCAGAATTTGGAAAGGAATGTGCATTCCAAGTGAGTTGCAGGGTAGCAATATACAGTGATGAACTTTTATGTAACACTGCTTCTCAAAATAAAAAACTACTTTTCTTTGCGGAAAATGGACTTTGGCATTAGTTGCTTTCTTGTCCACCTCAAATGAATGATCAAAAGATTAAATTGTGATAAGGATGACAGGACAGTCTGTTTACACCTGGAAGTGCTCTTCCATGAGTTCACACGAGCCCTAGTTGATTCAGCAGGCAAAGGGTTTCGCTCTTCAAGCTTATCTCTCACCTTTCATGAACCTTATATAAATAACAGAAATGAGAGATGTAAAAGTAAGGCGGGGACAGTGACATCAGTGCGTAAATGCAGTCTGCTTCATAGTAAAATTGCTACTTGAATGGTTAAAAATATTTATCCTGATTATAGAGATACCTAAAGATTTAAAATAAAAATCAGAATCGTCATGACAGGGCCTTTGAAAGTTGGTAAGAAACATCATCCCATCCTGATGTAACCCATGTTTTAAAATTCAGACAAAAAAATGTTGAATGGGTGCAATCAGAAAAAGAGAAATAAAGGAAGAGAATGCCAGATTCCCCTGTAAACTTTATAAATTAAGGTTCTCAATAAGGGAGAAAATGAAAGGGTACCAGGCTAATGTAGATATAGCATTCTGTGTAAAGAGACAAATTGTGAATCCGAATAACAACTGAACGATAAATTGTTCGTTCCAATGAAGCACGGAGTTTGTATGCTTGAATTTGTGGCTGAGTCAAGGAAGCTAATAAAGAGACATAGAATGAGGTAAATTGTCTCATCCCGCTGGGAGGTAAGCATAGCCTAAACATAGCCTAATTGTTCTTCTGTCATGAGTGGAGGTGTCTAAATTGGTGACATGAATGGCAGGTGGAAGAACCACCTCTGGTTCTCTTCATTCACCATTCATAGATGCCATTTAAGAGACTTGTTTAGATCAGCTGCTTAACTTTCAGGTGGCTAAAACTAGCTAAGAAGAAGAGGAACTAAGGTGATGAGAAGTGCATCAGACTTCTGCTCTGAATGCACTTAGAACAAAGCAAAGGTCCGGAAAGCTGTAAAGGGAAAGCTGAATTGTCAAGGTAGGTAAGAGTAGCTACACCTCAGTTGTGGAGCACCTCCCTGGAAGATGCTACAGTTGCCTTCCAACTCAGGGTAGATGTCTTTTCTGTCCCTGAGGCAATCCTAGAGGTCAAGGTTGAGCTCTGAGCTGATGAAAGTAGACACAGGAGTGCAGTGCTAAGACAATGATTGGAGTCATGTGAACATCATGAACAGATCTGCTGGAAGAAAACAGGGGGAAGGAAGAAAGGAAGAGAATGAGGAGGCTCCTCAGGATATGGCAATAATATTAAGAGGAAATGTTCTGGTGGAGAAAGTGAGGAAGTGATAAGAGTTAGAAAACCAACTAAAGTATGGAGGAACATTTATTATCCCTTAAGGACATAACAAATAATCAACCACAGAACAACATGAACAGGGCATATTGGCTTTGGCCAGGAGAAGGTCTGCAGAGATTTAAGTGAGAGGTGGTTTTGAGTGGAAGGAACAGAAGTTAGCCTGAATTGTGAGCAGAGTCTTAAGTTAAATAGTTTGCTGAAGTTGATTTATGGTGAAACCATAGGGATGGTCTGTGAAGGAGGGCAGCTGGGCAAGGACCAGATGACTTGATAAGAGGGTTTTTTTCTTTACAATGGGGAAAGTGTAATATTCTGACACCGAAGATGGAAGGGGGCAGCAGTGCAAGGTAAGCAAGAGCCATAAAAGAACAGGTTAAAACGATGGCAAAAAGAGGTTACGAATCAGAAAATACGCAGGCACTAAGCACAGTTGAAGAACGCTGTAGAAGAGAGACACGCTGAGAAGCCTGTGTGTTAGGGCTGAAAGCAGAGTGTGTGGGAGCCATGCTTTAGCAGACTGAAGGGATATGAGTTAAGGCAAATTCAAGTGGAAAGAAGAGGGAGCATTTCAAAGCAGATGCATAATAGCAGCTGAGTACAGTAGTAATTAGCCAAGCTGAGGCAGAGCAGCAGTTAGGCGAGCTGCAATTGCAAGTGGGAGGCCCAGATATGAAAATGAATTTTGAGCTTCCAGAATCGGGGAGCTCTGAGTCCATTATGAACAGAGCATTTCTAGTCTCCCAGGGAAAAGAAAGCTGGGCCAGGCCAGCCGTTCGGAAGTACCCGCGCAAGCTTTATCCCCCTAGTTAGTGCTTGCAGCCGAGGAGCAGATCTGGAGCTCTCGTCGAGCCCTGCCGTCGACTTCACGACGCTGCCTAATTTTGATGCTTGCCTACCCCTTTGGGGACCAAGAGGCTGAATTAATTAACATTTAATGTACCTTGAGATCTTGAACTGGAAGGAGCTGTAAAAATACAGAATATTAATATTGCAACTGTCCTAGGTGAAGCCCAAGGAGACGAGTGTTTCATAGTGCTCGGGACCAGCGCACACGAACGCACGTTCGGGTGTGCAAATGCGCGTAGGGATCGAAGTTTGGGGTTTGTTTCTGTAACCAGGCTTTCTGTTTCAGCTTCGCATCTTCAGACTGGCCTAATAGTACTTCCTAATAGCCTGGGAGGTATGTAGATATTACTCTGAAAAGTGTCACAGTAATAAGTATCTTCAGTCTCTAAGGTAGGTAGGTAAATAACAGATTGGACACTGCATTGCACCAAAACTGGCCGAAGCATCCGGGCTAGTAAAGGAATGTTATAAAGGTAAAGGGGAAGGCAAAGGCAACGGGAGAGGAAATGGGATACGGAGTGTGACCAAAGAGCTAACTGAAAGTGAGGTGAATGTGTCGAATAAATAGTAATAATAAAATCCTAACAAAACGCCTTCTGACATTTGTTCTAACCTATAGTTCGCTTTCTCTCCCGCCTCCGTTCTGTGTCTCGTAGGTTTTGTTAGCTATGACAATCCAGTCTCTGCACAAGCTGCTATCCAGGCAATGAACGGCTTTCAGATTGGCATGAAACGCTTGAAGGTTCAGCTGAAACGCTCCAAAAATGACAGCAAACCTTACTGATCTTAACCCCAGATGCTTACTGCTCTTATTTTAGCTTTCTTAGGGTAAGTCCCATGAGCAAACCTGTCCTCTGCAGGGGGGTTAAGAAAGAACATAGAGCCAACCTTCACCAAGAGACAGTTATTTTTACAGTTACCACTTCCATTTCCCCACTTGTCCTTATTACACTTGGCTCCCATTTCCTTGCCAAGTAATTACTGAGTTGTGTTACTGTATTTTGTTTTGCAGCATAATTTATCTCCTTTTCAAAACAAAAATAAACGTCTTGAAATTCAAAGCAACACACACACACACAAAAATGTGCAATTTAACTCTGTGAACCCTGGTGCCATTAGCACACAATAAAAGTTGTTTTCTATGGATGGATCATATTTTACCAGGGTGGCACCAGCAGTTTATAGGTTAAACAAAATGGCCTCATGCCAGTTGAAGCACTTATTTTGCAACAAAAATTGAAACAAGTCTTTCCACTACATCAACTTGTTTTTTGAGAAGATTTGATTTTTTTTTCGGTTCAGATCAACGTATTGTTATATATTAGTCTGATTTTACACTGGTCGTCTTTATATTTCACTTTTTTTTTTAAGTTCTCGGTTTTTTTGGAAAGGATTAATGTAAAAAAGATTTAGAGATCTGTTTCTAAAGCTACAGGGTTTAAAATAAAAAAAAATAAAATAAAATGAGTGACAATACTTGATGTTTCTTGAGAGATAAATTTAATAATAATAAAAAAAGAAAGCCACAGGCCTGTAAATTTTATTTGTAAAAAGCATTTCTATTTTTATACAAAATTTTTACTGCCTCAGAAATAATGGAAGTTATTTATTGCCTATTGTTAACTTATTGGATACCTAAAGAGCAGCTCTCTATGCTAGCTAGATCCTTTGAAGTAGTCTCTAGAGTAATTGTGCCAAGAATGGGCGCTTTTTCACCGTTGAACCCTTTACAGTTCATGCTTTTATCCTCTTGTTTGTATTTGTCTGGTTATTTTGTTCGTAGTTTCCATTACCTAGTTTAAAGTTCAGTTGTCTGACCGTTTTTTCCCCCCTCCCCGTACCTTTCTGTTACATCTGTAGAAACTGGTTCTTTCCTCTCTTTTCTCCCCAAAGAGGAATCCATCTCTCTGACTCCTTTCAGATGGATTCTTTTGGGGTTCCATTGTGCTCTTGTTGACAAGTATTGTAAGTTAATGCAAATTATGTGAACGGCTCGTAGACTCTTCTGATAAAAGATTTGCATTAGTTTTCTCCTGCACCCATAAAAGTGATTTTGTTTGTGCTGCATAGATTCTATGTAACTTTTTTCCTCTTCCTTGTTTTTTCCCTAGACATCTCCATGCCCGTTAGCCCATCGTTTGCCTAGCATGTCCCTGTGGCGTCTCAAAAAAAAAAAAGTTTCATCGTCCCGTCATTGTTTCTGATGTCTTTCTGACCTCACATCATATTTGGTTCTCCTACTGACCTTTGATCTAGTTTGACCTTTGAAATTTGCATGTGACCTCATCTAGCTATGAATTCTGGGAAGTCAATGTGAAAAAACATTGCTGCATTCATGCAAGACTGAAATTTATTATTAGATAAATTAATGATAGGATTTAAAAACAACCTGTGGCAAAATGTTTTTTCTTTCTTTCCTTTTTTTTTTTTTTTTGGGTTTGTTTTTCTTTTTTCCTTTGGGTTTTTTTCTTTGGGTTTTTTGGTTTGGTTTTGTTTGGTTTTTTTTTTCATTTCGTAAAAAAAAAAATAAAAAAAAAAAACCAGACTTGAAAGTATTATACAGGGATTGGCATTCTGCCTGGTCACTGGTGACAATAGCAATATGTGTCCAGAGGCACAGAATGTTGGTTTCTAACAGACTACTTCCAAAACAGTTTGAGAAATAAAACTGTCTGATTTTAAGTCTCTAGAGGTCTGTAATAGTTTTTACATTTTTCAGGCAGTGTAAAGTTTTTTGATAAGGCCATTTTAGGTGGCTCACTTTCTCATTAAAGTATATATATAGAACCACTTTTTGTAGATTAGTATAAGAAAATATTTACCCTGTTTTAGGGCAAATGCTACCTACTTGTGTCACCTTTTGCTGAACTGACTCACAGTTAGACAATCCATGGTTTAATGCACATGAAATTACCTATATTTTATACTGTTTCAATGTACAGAAGAAAGGTTACTGTAAAATGTGTTACGTTGGTGCTTCTGTGAATTAAGTTGTGGTTTCATCATGAGTCTTATGGTCTTAAGTGTTCTATGTTTATAAAAGGCGAGTTTAAAATTGGTTTACTTGAACAACAAGAACAAAAACAAGGTTCAAAAAAAAACCACAAAAAAAAAGTTGTTTGCTTAAAAAAAAAATGAATTTCATGTGAAAAATGAAAAAATATTCCAGAATAAGTTTGTGTTGGCTTGTGACGCATTGATGTCATTTTTTTATTGTGAACAATTTAGATGTGTTTGTGTTCAGCAAAATGTGATCGGTTTTTCTTTTAAAGAAAAAAAAAATCAGTGAAACTATAGTGCCAAATTCCAAAGGTACTTTCTTCCTAGAGCTTCAGTGTGTTTCTTGTGTGAAGTAATTTGATAACATGGGTATTTTATTATGTGTTTTGTATAAATCCCTAATATTTAAAGAAAAAAGAGGTTAAAAAGTTTGTTAACTTGCTATCCTGTGGTCTTGTTGCCTGAAATTGTTATTGTTTGTTATTTCTCTTTGATGTTTTTTGTAAAACATTGTATAAGTGCCCATGTTTCACTTTTTTAACCACTCTGCACACATCAATGCTGTGAAAGCAAACCTCACTATGTATTTTCTTCATATTGTATGGAAACCTCTAAGGTGAGAAAGTTTTGAACTTTTAACCCTTTCCACCCAGAGCTGTCTTGAGTGTTAATACCTTTTATACATTCACCATTTTGCTGTTTATTTTTATATATATATCTATATCTATAAATATATATATACTTAGTTTTTTGTGGTTTATTTAATACATGGTTGAAATCAGAACAATGCACAGGGCAGATCTGAAGGACAAAAATATTTTACTGCTGTCTAAATTTCTTCTGTATCTATAACTAAAATTATTTAAAACCGTAATTAACTTGTGGTTTTCCTTTTTAGATTTTGGGGATTTTGTCTTTTCTTAAATAGCTTTTAATATGCTGCTGGAATATGCTATTCAGTATTAATAAAATGAAAGAAAAAGAAAACAATTCTTTAATTATCTATTGTGTGAGCCGCTCCCAGAGAGGAGTGGTAAATCCACCATTTGAAAACCTTGAGGAGAGAAAAAAAAAAAAAATATTTTTGTAATTTAAATAAATGAACTTTTGCTTAAATCAGATGCACTAGATCTTCCTGGGTGAAAATTCAGTGTGCACTGCAGTTAAACTACTTTTTATGGATAAAGTTTACATACACTGTAATGTTTGGTGTTATCTGCCATTATTTTTAACGGCAATATATTGGCTTACTCCTGCAGACACTCGTATAGAGAGGAGTAACTTTACTCGTACAAGTAGTCCATGGGAATATTTATGTGACTGGTGTGGGTGTTTGCTGGAGGAAGCTCTGTGTAAGGAACCAGAAAAGAGATGCTGGTAGCCCTTTTCACTGCCTTGTAAGTCCGATTAGATCGCGTTTCTGCCGCACAAGTAGCGACCAACAAACAAATTTGGGTTTTTGTTACCGGTATAGAGAATTCATTGCCAATCCAATGCGTGTGAGCAGCAGTACCTGCTTCTGATGGTAAAGTGCCATACCTCCTTCCACGTCCTATTTCTATCCGATTATATTCGAAGCCACCTAAAATTAAAAATGAAGCCCTATACGAACAACATCAGCTGGTGCACTCTTTGTCTCTCATCCCCAACTTAAATGCTTCTTTATGTAGAGCCCTGGGATGGAAAGGACTAGCCTCTAGTGATGCAAAAAAGTTTCCTTCTTATAGCACATGCACTTATAAATAAATGATCTATACTTTTCTCACATGTTTTTACTACTGCTGGGGCCTTCCTACACCCTTTGAGGGCTATTTTGTACTACTTGCAGCAATTTTGCATATTCAAAGTATCATCTCACGTACGTGATATTATATATATGTACATGTATATATAATATGAGATCATCATTCGGATTGTTTAGACTGTTTCACTAATTTTTCTCATTGTACCCACCGTATGAAATTCCAAAGCTTTTTTAGACGCCCGAGCGCGTCCCGCGGGTTTGCCGGTGCAGTTAGAGCGGTGATGCCTTCGGTCCTCAGGCGGTGTAACTGGGCATCGGGCTGCCCCGAATTGTGCTACACGGGACAGTGGCTTAGCAGTGGGAGAGGAGGAATTTTGCTGTAGTCCCAGGCAGCTGAGATGGGTCATTGCTGAGAAAAGTGTCCGTCTTGAACTAAAATTTAAAAAAATAAAAATCGAACACAGAAACCCAAACATACGCCTCCTTGGAGACGAATTATCTACCAGTTCTCTTTTAAAATATTGAGAGGAAAAAGCTGCAAGGGTGCAAGGGCCTAATAAGAGAGGAAGAAAAACAAGGGAAATTGCTTTACAAAATTCTAATCAAAAGACTAGACTAGTTGTTTTTTCAAACAAATTAGCTAATTGCGATGAAATGGCAGTCCTCAAAGGAGTAACAAGTTCATCTTTCTTTCACCATAGGGGTTACAGTTCCTTGGCTTGTGCTACTCTGGAATCATTTTACTGTTTCTGTTTTTATTATCTTAAGTGCTAATTAACAAAAGGAAAAAAATATCCTGTAGTTTCATTACCTTTTTGGATAATGTCATACAAAAAAAAAAAAAAACAAACCTATGTATTTGTGTTTTTTTTGTGCTGTGAGAATTGTTGTTTGTAGATTAATAATACTATCATTTTGTTTAGAATTACAAACTAGTTTTTAAGTATTGTCTGAGAAAAGCCAAAGTTAATGCAACCTAGTGGAAACTGTAAGACCATTTGAGTATTGTTTCTGTTTTATTGATGCATTTGGATTTTGTTGTTTGATGGAATTTGAGCCAAAAAAAAAAAAAGAACAAAAAAGAAAAAAAAAAAGCAGGCTTTCCTATTTCTACAACTTGATTGTACTTATGCATTTTGTACCAGTGGAACTTTTTATACTGGAGATTAAAAAACAAATGGAAATTTTTGTGGCTTACTCTCGTGGGCCCCCTCGATCATGAGTGATTTTCAAGTTTGATTTCTGGACGGTAGGAAGAGAGTTGGTTTTGTTTAGAGAATTCGAAACTTTGGCTTGATTTCTTTTTTTCCCTTTGCTTATATCTAGTGTTTAGAATTTTGTCTTAACAAAAGCGGTAAGTTTCACTTTTTATTCTGTATCGTGCAGTTACACAATAAGGTAATTAGAATTAGGAGTACTCGGTCACTTTGCGTGGATAAATGTATTAGTTAAAACGTTAGGGGTTTGCTTTTTTGCTGTTTAGATCAGAGTTTTTTCTGATTCTTCTGTCCTCATTGTGAACATAACCGTGTAGTTGAAACAGTCAGACTTATTTTTGTAACGTATGTTATTGTGTGATGCAGTTTTTTGCTTCTGTCTCCAATATTAAACCATTTTCCTAATACTTGTCTCTCTACTTTGTGTGTTGTATTGTTGGTGGTCATTCTGTGTTGGTAATACATCTACACACCTCACTGTTTCACGTGCCTGTTTTTTTTTTTCTCTATTTGTTGGTTGTGTACAAAAGATACAGTCGATTCCACCTA